GTCGACGACGAGACTCCTTCTTTCGCTAGTAGCAAGCGCTGCCCAACCCGGGCCTTCCTTAATTCTTGGCGCTACCAGTCGATACATCTACAAGCTATGCCTCTCGAGGTTTGACGGCAGGCATAATCTAGCCCACGCAGGGACTTACCTTAAGTGTACGCGTGTCTTAGACTTAGAAAATTCTGTACTGTATTGGTTTATCTCTTTTTCTTTCTCGCAGAGCCAGTTTGAATGGCTCTCTGTCCTTTCCTAGTTCCTATACAAATAAAGCGATGAATACGTCGTTCGATCTTCTCGCATTCTGCTCTACCCTTGAGTCGGCGACACCCGAGTCGCCAACACCCGAGTCGCCGAGGCTTGAGTCGCCGACACCCGAGTCGCCGACACTTATGTCGTCTACACTTGAGTCGCCGATACTCGAGTTGCCGATCTTTACCTCTGTCGCTCGATTCTCCAACACTCGAGTCGTCGACCCTTAAGTCGCCGAGCTAATATCCCGGGGCTGAAATTTTCTACACCACACATGACCGAGAAAATGCGACATGCATTAGCTCATCGTCGATGCGTCGAGCCTTGATGGCACCGTCGCCCTCGACGAACCTTCTTAACAGGGAGTCTTCCTCGACTCCGTGATAAATGGAGATCTCTAGATTGAGAGATTCCCGTCGACGCTTACGCGTCGAATCTGCGGACTGAGACTGTTGCAATTTAAAATTTTAGTCCGCTGGTAAGCGTGTTGTTGCAATAAGGTCACCTGCGCTCGCGACTCATCAAGTTCTCGTTGCAAAAACTTGTTAATGACGGAATGCTGCTGTTCTCTATCGCTTGAGGGTAGCATACCCCAGATAGCCTCTTCGCCAACGGTCGAACTCATTCGTTCGATCGCACTCCATTCAATATAGCTCATATAGGAGTAGCTATCACGGAACCCGTGAAAAATGTCGCCTTCTTCATCGTCCAACATGTGATGTCGGGTGATGCGATTGTGGTCCTTGGACGGACTACAAAGTGCTACCAGGTGTAACGGGACACCGACAGCTACGTACTGGTTTATCAGTACGGAGTTAACCTTTCCCTGACAACAGTGAAAGTCAGTGCTCTGCTAAGTGTAAACGCTTCTCAGAGGAAGGATGAACAACTAAAGTAAAGTCTCTAGTCGTGGTAAAAGTGAAACTGTTATTTGATACAATTAAGTCTTACCACTGTTGTTGTCTCTGTTTATCCTGACTTCATCATATTTAGTATCACTAAACGTACGACTACGTCTAGTCACCACCCATTGCGCGCGTCTAGCAGCGATTGGTTGGTTGATATCATCACAATATCAACTAACGAGTAGACCCTTCGGTCATCTCAACAAAATCACTCTATTTAGTGATATTATAAAAAGAATATTCAGCGTAATATTGTTTATTGCCATTTTCTCCTTATTGGCTATTTCACGTGACGGGCTACCCCGTTACAAAACCAGAACGAGGATCGTTGAAGTTGATGTGGTAGCTGCGTGAACACACGTTTAATTTGTATCACTACGTACTACATACACGGAGGGGAAGCGGCTGTCTCCGCTGAGTCCTTTGTCCGTGTGTGGCAACACCGGGGACTGTGCGCAAGCACCACTCTTACGTAGTCAGGCAGTTGTTGCGGTTGGCAGTGAACGAGCGAATACGGTCCGCGCACTGATGACAGTGTGAGCGTCCCGTGCTTGATAAATGACGCTCACGTGTTGCACTGACAGTGTGGGAAGCTCCCAAAGAAGACAGAACACTCACTTGACGTCAAAGAGTTCTGCATGCATTGCTCGAAGTAGCCTCCCTAGCTATCGTTCACATGCACAAATGATACGACTTCCAACCCATCTACGTGACATACCGAAACCCTCTGTATGTATCTTGTCAAGTGGTGGATCGGCGACGGCGTGTGTCAGGAATGACGTAAGCGCGACGCCATCGAGACGCGCGAGTTTGTTGTGAAGTATCACCTCTCGCCGCACCAACTGCTTCTTCGGCAGCTTCGTTAGACCTCCTCTACCATCTGCGATCTTGCAACAATTGACCGGATGAAGAAGACAGCAGGATGACAGCTACGGCAACGCTACTCCTTGCAATGCATTTTGGTACGATTCTAGATGGGTGTTTACGACCTTAACGTCAGTACCGCTACGCCGACGCGACTCGAAGTGTCGTGCAAAGCGCGCCCATGCAGCACATGCGAACGTGCGGTATATATCGTCGGTGCATGTTTTATTTCTCATCTGGTGGAACGCCTTTTCCATTCTCGTGCTTACTTGACGCATTTGTTTGTATGTACCCTGTAAGAATCGCGTCTTCTTTATGAGGCTGCTCAAGCATGCCAAAGTCGACCTAAACAACCAGACAGAAAGAAGGCGGGGGATGGACAAAAGTAGTTTTGAGCCAATAATTGGCTCGATGAAACAGTGCTAGCAGCCCTTCGTCATAGTTTGCGTCGCAAGGGCGTCTCGCTACATCTTCTAGTGCTCCATCGCCTTGAGAACACGCGGAGCCGGGCGGTCAAAAAGATCGGGAGCCGAGCGGCCGTCGTAGAACTTCAACAGCTTGCGGGCCTCGTCGGCAACGGCGTCCGGGTTGAACCCGAACTCCTTCTTTAGCTGTGCGATCGTAGCCGACGCGCCAAAGCGGTCGAGGCCAAACTGCGAGTGCGAGTAGGTGGACCAGCCAAAGGTGGCGGCAGCTTCCACACTCATCGAAGGAATGCCCTCGCCAAAGATCGCCTTCTTGTACTCGATCGGCTGCTCGTCAAACAAGTCGCGGCATGGCATCGACACGACGCGCACGTTGTAACCGGTCACCAGCTTGGCAGCGTCGATCGAGAGCGACACTTCCGATCCCGAAGCGACCAGTACTAGGTCTGGTTCACCCTCCAGTGACTCCACCTCGGCTCCGTTGACCACGCTGGCCACAATGTAAGCACCCTTGGTGACGGCCTCAGCAGTCGAGTTGGCCAGGTTCGGCAGACCTTGTCGAGTGAGTGCGAGTACCGACGTCTTGTGCTGGTTCTCCACGGCAGCAATGTAGGCACCCACGGTCTCGTTACCATCTGCAGGGCGGTAGACGTACATGTTGGGCATAGCGCGCAGCGACGCGTTCATCTCGATCGGCTGGTGAGTCGGACCGTCTTCACCCAAGAAGATCGAGTCATGGGTAGCAATGTAGATCACACCGAAGCGCGACAAAGCGCTCAAGCGCACAGCACCCAGCGCGTAGCCGATGAAGTTATAAAAGGTCGCACAAAACGGACGTAAACCGCCGTGTGCAAAGATGCCATTCGAGATGGCGGCCATACCGTGCTCCCGCACACCATAGCGAATGTAGCGGCCAATCGGAGTATCCTTCTGGAAATCGCCAGACATCGACAGGAGTGTCAGATTGGACGGGGTTAGATCAGCCGAGCCACCCACAAGCTCGGGCAGAGCTGTAGCAACGGCGTTGAGAGCAATCTCCGAATACTGGCGAGTGGCCTTGACAGCGTCAGCAGGCGTGTACTTGGGCATGTTCTTCTTCCAGTCGGCCGGGAGCTTGCCTTTCATGCGGCGCGTAAACTCAGCAGCTTCCTTCGGGTGAGCTTCGGTATACTTAGCAAATAGCTCGTTCCACTGGCTCTCGTGGTCGGCGCCTGACTCGGTCTTGTCATAAAACTTCTTGACCTGCTCCGGCACAAAGAACGACTCGGTTCCTTTCAAGCCGAACTTCTCTTTCGTGGCCGACAGATCCTCTGGTTTCAATGGAGCGCCGTGCACCGAGTGCGTATTCTCGAGATTCGAGCCAAACCCAATCGTCGTGTGGATCTTGATCAGCGACGGCTTGTCCGTCACCGCTTTGGCCGCTTCCACAGCCTTCTCAATGGCAGCGTGGCCGAAATTGCCGTCCTCTACGGCCTGCACATGCCAGCCGTACGCCTCGTAGCGCTTCTGCACGTCCTCCGTAAACGAGAGACTCGTGCTGCCATCAATCGTAATCCTGTTGTCGTCGTAGAGCACAATGAGCTTCCCGAGTCCAAGGTGGCCAGCGAGCGACGAGGTCTCGGACGACACGCCTTCCTGCAGACAGCCGTCGCCACAGATGACGTACGTAAAGTGGTCGACAATGTCGAGGCCGTTCTTGTTAAACTCGGCAGCCAAGTGCTTCTCGGCGATCGCGAGCCCCACGGCATTGGAAATGCCTTGACCCAGTGGACCCGTGGACACCTCGACGCCAGGCGTACAAAAGTTCTCGGGGTGGCCCGGCGCCTTGGAGCCCATCTGGCGGAACTGCTTGAGGTCGTCGATCGACAGGTCATACCCAGTGAGGTGCAACATGCTGTACTGGAGTGCACAGGCGTGGCCATTCGACAGCACGAAGCGGTCGCGGTTGACCCACGTGGGGTTCTTCGGGTTGAACTTCATCGTCTTGCCAAAGAGCACGTGGGCCATGGGGGCGCATCCCATGGGCGCGCCGGGGTGGCCAGACTTGCCAGCGCTTGGCTGGTCGGCGGACAGCATGCGGATCGTGTTGATGCAGAGCTCTTCGCCAATGCGGGGCTTCTTGTCGACGTGGTCCGACATGGCTACAGACAGTGACACACTAAGTACGAGTTCAGACACAACACGGCAGCTTCTGCGGGTTGAAGCGAATCGGGGAATGACTGATCTACGGGCGATCCAAGCGTCGGGACATCACACTTCTGATTGGCTGGTTGAACGAACAACCAATGACATGACGAGTGGATACTTACGCGAGAGCAAAAACGCGTCGCTCAGGAGCTAGCACGCTGGTTGGTCGCGGGGTCGTATACTCCTGCAAATTCTTCCGTGACACGCTGCCGACTAACCGCCACTCACTCACTCGCTCACTCGAGCGATCGGATGTGACAGGCAAATGGACCAATTGGACGGAGGCGCTGAGAACTACCGATGAAAAAAGTGACGGTCACGTCACAAAATCTGAGTCTCGCGAGTCTCCTCAGCCCCAGTCATTCCAAAGATGCCGCTTGAAGCACACACTTACGCATTGTTTGACAACCGGTGACTCGCTCTCTTTCTCTCTATATATGTATCGCGCTGTGGCCACAGCTCGTGCAGCACTCGACTAACTCCAAGTGGCTGCGGTGTCTCCATCGTAGAACGCTGCACGTGGGCTACTACAAAGACGTGACGAACTGCTCGACACTGCGACAGAGTCTGTTGGACAAGAAGCTGGACGTCGCGCTACTCAATGCTCACCTGGTAGAGAAGAGACTCGCACTACTCGTAGCAACGTCTGCTTGCACTGTGGTACTGAGCGAGTGCTCACGTGTGTGTGTGGTTGCGATGCACGTTTCTTGGATAGATCGCTGGGCCGTTCCAGGTCCACGCAGCGGCCTCACGAGTGTTTCTCTGCGATGCGTCGAGCCGATTGACGACGCGCAGTCTGCACGCTGAGCTGGTCTTCAACATGTCTGGATCGCGCAACGTGTCGGAATCGTTCAAACGGTTCGGTGTCAACGAGGACATGACGTCGCTCGTCGTGTGCGTGATTGACGCTGAAGACGAGACACTCGAGCAGGTGCAGATGCTGGTTCAGGGCGTGCAGGTGCCGTTTGAAGAGCTGGGCATGCACTTGACCGACGAGGACGCGAACCTCATCAAGAAGGTATACAAGATTTCGGAGCAGGAACTGACGCAGTCGACTCTTGCTGATGCAGCGACATGTCGAATCGCGACCAAGAGCTGTAGCAAGTAACACGAGACGGAACGCGCGAAGAAAGTCTGATCGAGGACACAAATGAGCTGGTGCGTTTTCCAGTGCTAGTCAATGTCGTCATTGCAACTTGTACAGCTTCGTTAGGTCTGCCACTGCATGCTCCTGGATATCGTTGTCATTCTTGGCTAGCCCTTCCAAATGCTGGATTACCCATGCTATGTCTGCTTTCTCATTCTCTGACAAAAGCATGACTGTCATGTCGAAGCGCGTCACGTTCGTTAGCTCACTGGCAAATGCAAGCACAAATGACGCAGCGCCAACGTGCGCAAACGAGCTGACCTTTGACGAGGATAGCAAGACATGACGGAAGACGCGGAAGACGTCACATAGAACGTCGGACTCTATCGAAGTCTTGAAGACGCTGCAAAGCGTCGCGGGGTCGATCATGCGCAGATAATCAGCGCGCAAATTGAGCCTCTGACTTTTCTGATCTGCGTCTCCACGCAAAGCAAATGTCTTCCACACTCGATTGAACTCGTAGGAAGTGGCCGGCGCGTTGTTGGGAAGCTTGGGCAGAATCATTGGTCTCTTCGTCGGGCCCTTTGTCGATGACGTTGCTCGCAATGTCCCGTCCTGAGCTAGCCGAGAGGCGGACGATTCTTGCGATATTGAGGAATCCCGCTTTGTGCCAGAAGACGAGCGCGTCGGCTGTTGCAACCCGCAGTTCTTCTCCTCGGACGTAGCACGTTTCGGCTTGCAAGCGTGACCCGGTCCACTCCCACTTGCAACTTCAATTGCAAATCCTGTGCGTTTCGGAGAGCGTTTAATTGCTGTGCGAAGGAGCTCTCGAGTCGATTGCAGCTGAGCTTGAATTTGACGGCTTCTGGGGTCCAAAGTTGCAGCGTGGTGGAAATCGAGCAGCGCAAGTCGATGTTTTCCCAACGCGTTGCGTGCTGTGCCCCGGCGTGTATAAGACTTGACATGCGTCGGATCAATCTTCAGAGCCGACGTGCAGTCGTCTTCCGCTTTGACAAACTCTTGGTTCTTCAAGTACGCCATGGCGCGGTTCGACAGGACTACTGCATTTTGCAAGTTGCAGTCCAAACAGCGCGTATAGCTCTCGATCGCAGCTGCATATTCCCCGCGCGCATAACGCTCATTGCCATCTCGTTTTTCCACTTCTTGTCGACTGTCCGTCGTCGCTCCAGTAGCCTCCTTCAGGCTCGTTGCGACCACTTGATGGACACTTTGTACCGCCCTTCGCTCAGCAGAGCTTCTCGAGCTTTTCAGTTCACAAACACTGCTGTCGTCTCCTTTTCTACACTCTTTATCCTGCACACAAAAGCAAAGCCGCGTCAAAAATGGACAGTTCGCTACTGCCCGTCAGTAACAAAGAAGGCCACGAGACTCGTCACCAATGCACACACCCCGTCTAAATCCCCACAGCTCTCACGCGTCTGTTCACTAGCAGTCGCAATCGATTCGCGTCCACCGGTAGTAGCTCGAGCGCCATCGGCACACTCGCTGGCATACCTCTTGCTACCGCCCGCGCGTGCAACAGCTGCAGTACCAACGGTCTCTGCTGATCGCTTGTGCACTAGATCGTCCGTGTGACTGGTCGCTTTTCGTGCGGATCGAGGCGAGCGTTTGTCCTGCGCCGCTGATGTGGTTGCGCAGTGCTCGTGCTGAGGCATCTCGCTGTTCATTCTATCAAAATGGGTCAGGTGTCGGGCCAAAACTGGCCAAATGACTACAGCCACGAGCCGCGTCGTGGTCAGCCAAAAGCACGCTGTCGTCGCATCTTGTACCAAAACAAAGAGTATTAAGTTGGACAGTCCATATCGTCGTTGCCGTCGTTATTGGTGTTGTTGACAGTTGTCGACGGTACTGCTGGTCGTTCTTGACACAAACGACATGACTTCGACCACGGCGAGTAGCCACATGAAAGTGCACCGCGCGCTCGTGGACGCCGCGTTCGACCGCTACGTACTGGCCACGGGCGAGGACGCACTCACTCCACGTACGACGGCACTCGCAGTACGCGCTCTAGCGCCGCTGGGCGCGGACCCGACCACGCGCAAGAAGGCGCACTGGGAGACCCGCGTGCACCACAACGCGCTGGCGCTGGACCCGTTCGCGGGCGACAGCTTCGGTGCGCCTGCTGCGTACTTTGTGAACGCGTCGTATCAACTTGTACAGGTCCTGCAGCACCCGACGCGTGGCCTGACGCTCACGAGCGTCTACGACTTGCCACAGTGTGCGACGCGACAGGAGAACGCGTCGGTGCAAGTCGCAGGCAAAGGGCTTGTCGTGTATTGCGACGGACACGGGACGTTGCACGCGGTGGCAGCCGAGCGCGATCCCCACGGAGGTGCCACGTGGCGTGAAGTGTATGAGTGTGCACCGTGGGGCGTTGTGCCGTTGCTGTTGGTGAGTGCTTCGTACGACGCCCGACACCACCGTCTGTATGCCGTGGTGGCTGAGCCGCTATCGGGCAATGAAGCGGACAAAGCGTTCCGAGTCGCGGTGGTTGATATACTGCTGGAAGCAGCTTCTGCGACGCAGAACGACATGGAGGTTGATAGTGCCGATGGCGGACGGGACCACGTGGCGTCCAGCATTGCCGTTGTGTCGAAGTTGCCCACGCACGTCTCATCCAGCGGACCTGATGTGGTCATGCTTGTGGAAGGAACGTACCAGTTGCTGATGCCGCACGTAGCAGAGAAGCCAGAGCGAGCGTCAGTGAATGTGCCTCCAGCAGCTACCGACGCATCAGCGACTCCCGTGTGTCGCCGCGACGAGGACGACCTGAGCGAAGGTGAGATAGCCGATTTGCTGTCTACAGTTCCACGCGCAGGAATTGGTTTCCACGGTGATATCACAAAGCCCAAAGGGCCTAGCGAATTGGCATCGGTTGACTCCACGATGTCATTGGGGGAGCGGTTCCGCAAGTCGAGCACGTCATTCAGCTCGGTAGCCACGACGCTTGATGCAGCACCTCACGCCTCGACGCGCCATAACAAGGCAAGCAGCAGCCGCACTCTTGACCATGCATGTGAGGTCCCGACAGCAGAGTCCGTTCTCAGCGGCTTTGAAGAGTGTGACAGCGGTGATCCGAATGCTAGAGCGGCTCTCTTACGCATCAACTGCGAGCAGCGCACGGTACGACACCAAGTGGACATCGACTGCCTGAAGTTCCAGTTCCTCTGCCCAAGCGCCCGTGTGCGAGGCTCGAACGATCACAAGTCAGCGCTGCTTTTCCGACACGATGTTCACGGTCTGGTTTTCGAGCTGGATGGGACGGAAGCTCGACCGACGCTGCGCCACACAGCCACACTCCCAGCGTTCGGCTTTGTGCAAGCTTCGAAGCAGGACAAGAAGTTCATGTCGTTTCACGCGTCAGGTTCGTTTGCCTGTATTGGCGAATTCCAGCGGCGCGTGTTCGTGTACATGGGCAGCAGCTCCGACATCGAGCGCGAGGCGCACACACGGAAGCAGCACATTGTGGAGTTTGGCGATCAAGAGCTACTGGGGATGCAACTTGTGGACGAGCAGACGCTCTTCGTCCTGACCTCGAGCCAAGTCTACTCGCTTGGGTTGGGCAGCATAGAAAGGGCCTAAGAGTCGACCATCTGCGTTGCGCTGGCCCGTGATGGTGGCCCTGCATTATTTCGTCCAATCCGAACGCGCGATACGATTCGCCTCGAGTAGCTCGTGGAGCCATACAAAAAGCGACGTCCGGGAGGCAATTTTTTTCGCAGCATCAATTGTCATGCTCTTCTCGCTGCGTCAGAGGCTGCGACCAGCCGTCACGACCATCGCGCAGTCCGCGGCCCGCAGGTGCGTTTTGTCTCCTCTGTCTGCTCTTGTTGTGTCTCTTGCTTCGTTCGTGCACTGTCAATATATAGGCTGCTGAGTCAACGCTGAGCTTGGGCTGTGCTGTGCTATGTGTGCCTCTGTGTCTCTCTCTATCGGGAAAAGCAGTGGTCGTCGTATCGCTCAGACTGATCGCTCCCTGCGTTTCGAGCGCGCAGCAGCCGGGCGACTCATCCCCATAAACTGTTGCAATGGACGTTCGTTCTCCTCCTCGCCGATTGTTGGGTACGACGCTCGTGGGTGAACGGCGTATGGGTGGAGACTGAATTTCGCTGCTGCATTGGATGCAGAGTGGCAAACGACGACCGAGTCGTTGAAGACCTGCCGTCAGAAGGAGTAGAGCAGGCGCTGGACGCTGCTAGTACGACGAGGCCGTGCTTTGTTTGCTACTTTGTTATGGTGGAAACACTCATGTTGGTGTGTTGGTGCATCTCGGTTGCAGCCTCGGCGGTAGAGTACGCATCTGTGTCGGATCTTGGTGCGTAGTGGCGCTCGAGGACGCAGGTGACTTGCTGCACTGACATCTTGATTAATCTGGATGCACAGGCTACGGGTTGTCTGACATTGCCATTCGCTCGCTGGATGTGATTCACTCCACGACGGGACTCCCGTGGTGGGCGACCATCATCGCGACTACCGTTGCCGTGCGCACGGTTTTCTTTCCGATCACGGTCGTTTCGGTAGGTGATGCAATCACGGAGAGCGGTAACCACACGTGTGCACGAAGAGTCGACTAATGCCGCGATGCAGATGAGAAATGCAGCCAAGATGAAGCTGTTTCAGCCTGACATGGAGAAGTTGCGCGCCGAGATGGACGCTAACCCGACTCGAGATCCAGAGTCTGTGATGCAGTTCCAGAAGAAGTATAAAGCGTTGATGAAGAAGCACGGCGTGAACCCGCTCAAGAGCATACTCACGCCGTTGGCGCAGGTGTGGAATAGCTGCCGATGTGTCTTCACGCTCTTGTCAAACGCGCTGGCCGAACTGCTGCTCATTCTGTATCACGTCTTACTTCGGTGTGTCGCATGCAGATACCAGTCTTCATCGGGTTCTTCTGGGGTTTACAGGACATCTCCAAGTATTTTCCGGAGTATGCACACGAGGGCATTGGCTGGGTGACCGACCTCTCCGCCGCGGACCCGACGACAGCGCTTCCTATAATATCCTCTGCTCTATTGGTCGCGTCCGTCGAACTCGGTGGCGACGCCATGACTGGCGAAATGAAAGACAAGATGAAATTCGGTATGCGTTGCTTTGCCGTCATCATGGTCCCGCTCACCATGAACTTTCAGTCGGTACGCACTTTGGCACGTTGCACACACGCCTGTACTCTTGTACTGACGTTAGCTTTTTTGCCGCGTTCTTTCTGACAGGGAATCTTCGTATACTGGGTGACGTCGAACATGTACACGCTGACGCAAACGGCTTTGTTGCGGCTGAACTTTGTCAAGCGTGCGTTTAAGATTCCGGTGACAGAAGTGCAGCGCCTGGAAACGTCCAGCGTCACATTGACGTCGCCTTTCGAAGCTGCAGTGGCCCGTGCGAAGGAGGGCACGATCGTCAAGACGCACGTGTACAAACCGACCAAGCCGTCCAAGAAGAAACAGTGACGACCCACACCGTTTCGTTTACCCAAAGAGTAGCGCCGGCAGCAGTTCCGTGATTACTCGTTATAGAGGAGTGTGCCCAGAGCAAGTGCACGCACTCCATGTGTGTGAATACACCAAGCGCCTGTAGCTACTCAGCGTTCATTGTGCCTTCTCACTTGCCGTGGTCTTGTCGTCTGTCCGAAGAATGACGTATGTGCTAGGCGCGTTCTGATACAGGTGCAGTGTTAGCACGGATCAAGCAGCGCGAACCAACGCCATCCAACGAGTGCGCACACCTGGATTTGAGGGCATAGTGTAGATGGCAAGAAACGCGCGTGCTCCTCGCGAAACAGATTGCGCATGGCGTCCTCGTGTTGTGCTAGAGCCGCGAGCTTTGTTGTTGTATCTTCAATCTGCTCGACATCAGACGACCGCGATCAACCAATTTGTATACACGCGGCAAGATGCATGGGCCACATCAACTTACCAGTTGAGATACTCTCGATTCGTACTGCTTCCGTCGAAGCAGTTCAGCATTGACAGACTGGTACGATGCCAGAAACTGACGATAGAAATCTCGGAGGCTGCGCAACTCGTCGAAAAGGAGCTGTGCTTCGGCAAAAATGACCTCGTAGCTGTGTCGTAACAAGCCACGTTTGCGTCAATGAGCCGGTCAAAATCAGCGCTGTCGTCTACAACGCACTGTGGATAGACGTCGTTGATCGTGGTGAAGTGCTGCAGCAAGAACCGGTCGCACTGCTCCATGTCGACGAAGAAGCTGACCTGTCGACGCAACATGACACGACTTAGCCATCACATCGCGCCAGCAACTTTGCCGATCATCGTAGCGGGAGCACACACTGCTGCATCGTAGAGCTTTTCGACGGCTTCAGCCTCGTCATCGCTGCTACCCCTCAAGTGACAAGAAGTCAGCACGATCCATGCAATCACAAGTATTGCCAGCCCAGCACAACGTACGGGATCCTGGCAACGTCTCGCTGCTCTCCAATCAGCGCGTCCATGTCGCGTCCGTGCGTTTCATCAAACGTCCGGAAGAATCGGTAAATCGCAGTGATCCTCGCGATTGCGTGTTGATGAGCTGCCAGCAGTTCTTCCACCCTGCAGCGCGAGCAAACAAATAAAAAAACAAACGGCGTGTCAAAGGCCCCATCCACTGCCGATTGATCCACACGTGTGGAGCCCGCGACACGTCCCACGCACTCTTTCGCCTGCTCCAGAGCCTCTTGTTGCAATGACTGGACCGTTTCTGCATCCACAAAGTCAAACAGTGTCTTGTCGGGCTCGCCGCCCACCATCTGTGGGTCCACGGCACTGCTCTGGAGCCGCTCAAACACGTGGTTCAGCTCGTCCAGCAGCTAATGGGCCCGACCGCACGCATCGCAGGTCAGCCGCGTCACGGTCCATTGCGGTGGTAGAACCGACACGAATACCGGTACCTCGGTACGTACCGGTGTCTGTGCAAATACCGATGTTTGCGCAATCTCCTGCGCACTCGTGAGCTTCACGCGCGAGGCGTCCAGCATCTTCGCCAGCACCTGCATGTATGCCAGTCAGTATACACATCGCCGCAGTGGCGGTCAGCACACGGCAGCTGCACGACTGACTTGACGCCCGTACGTGGCATTTCTCTGCGATTGTCTTGACCACTTCGCGGGTCGCGCTCGCGCAGTATGCGGTCGCCATGTCGCGGATGATGGCAGCGTCTCAGATCTGAGGACGTCTGCGACATGCGTGCGTCATCATTTCGCGGACGATGTCGAGCGCGTCCGTGATTGGCTGCATCCGATGCACCCGCTGGAATCGTCCTCTTGCGTCTACCTCATGATACCGTTGTACAGGCTATTCGTTTCTGCAGGTCTATCAGCCCTCAGCCGCTGGCAAGAACGTATCAGTCGTGCTCGACTATCAGGTTTCGCTGACATCCAGCCAGCACTCGGCCTGCAGCCATTTTCCGTTTGAGCGACGTGGATGAAGCCATGAACGGCGGCGTGATTGCCATCCTGGCAAACGTCGGCCTCGTTGTTGTGCTCGCCATTGCGTTCTTCATAGTGCGGCGCAAGGTCCTCCACGTGCACACACAGAGACTGCGCGAGCTCGCGGCCCCGCTGCTCGGCACGTACGTCCTTCAGGGCCAGCGACTGACGAGTGTCGTTCTGGTGTCGTTTATCGCGGCCTACTGACTTTGTTTTCGCATCGTGTGGGACAGGCCGAGTGCAAGTGCGGACCATCGACTGGATGCTGCCATGAGAGAAGCGGAGAAGGGCTCTGACGTGTGTTCTGTGTGTGAGTTTGCGAACTTTAAGGACGCGCACTGCTGTGCCGTCTGTGGCGAGCGCTTGGACGCGAGTACGACGCATGAAGACCGAATGGGACGATATAAGAGGAGGTTCAGGAGAAGAGGGAAGAGGAAGCGAAAGGGTATTGCAGGGCCTGGCCGCTTGACAGAGCGCCAGGTGCGTGCGAGAAAGAGGAAGGAGTGGACACGAAGAGTGGACGTGGAGGGCAACATGTTTTGGTTTCGTGCCAAAGAAGACAGTGGACCTGTCGCGCCTGCTCGAGTGGGCAAAGTGGTACGGTTTGTCAAGCCGGATGAGAACGTAAAGATGCCTGGCCAAGTCCTTGGTCCAGTTGCAACATGCAGTGACGTGACGGTCGTCGAGCCAGCGAAAGTAAAAGTGTTTCACGAGAGCGTAGTCATGGATATCATTCCAGCTACGAAATGGGATGCTGCGGCACGAGCGACTGGCGAAGTGCTGGCCGACAATACGCAAATGGGCGTTGAGCGCCGGCGTGAGACGCTGGAGTTAGTCGCGAAGGACTTTCCTTCGAAGTACGCCTACTTTGTCAAGAGCACAGTGTCGCTGCTTGTTCCACCCGAGGTGGAATTCCTCAAGCTGTCTATCCACAGGGACTACGTGTTTGAGGAATCGATGGAACATCTTGGATGCATTGATGAAAAGTACGTTCGGTCAGCGATGCGCATCAACTTTCTCGAAGAGAGCGGTGTGGACGCAGGTGGGCTTCACCGCGAATGGTTCTTGATGCTGACCGAGCTTCTGATGGATCCGAAAGCAGGGCTGTTCAAAGCCACGAGTGGGGAGGACCGTGCCTTTTTCTTGAACCCCAACTCTCGCTACGAAAATGGCGAAGAGCATCTTTTCTACTATTATGGAGCAGGGAGATTGTTAGGGCGGGCGCTGCTAGAAGGCACGGTGCTTAACTTTCACTTGTGCGTTCCGCTGCTCAAGCTTATTCTGGGTACGCCTCTGTGCATGGACGACGTAAAGTACTTTGACCCGGAAGTGCACACAAACATGATGTGGATGCTGGAGAACGACGGCGTCGAGGCTTTGGACCTGGACTTCAGCGTGATTGAACGCGTATGCGATCGGACCATAACGGTCGATCTCATCCCGAATGGACGCAATATCGAAGTCACTGATGCCAACAAGCACGAGTATTTGGAGCGCAGGTTTGAGCATCTACTGCTTAGGAGCGTGGCGGACCAGCTGTACGTATTCCTCAAGGGCATCTACGAGGTCATCCCGCAGCAGCTGTTGATGCTCTTTGACTATGAAGAGCTAGACAATTTGATGTGCGGGTCTCCGGAGATCGATGTCGATGACTGGGAGAAGAACTCGTCTGTCACTGAAAGTGTAGCGCGATCACCGACACTCGGATGGTTTTGGGAGATTGTGCGCGAGATGCCGAATGAGTACCGACGGCGTCTGTTGCAGTTCACCACCGGCTGCTCGCGCGTGCCGCTCGTGGGGTTCAAGGGTCTTACAAGCTACGATGGCAACGTGTGTCTGTTCACGATCCGAGGCATTGTTGGCGCACCAGACGAGTTCGTACGCAGTTTTGCATGCTTCAACCGGCTGGATCTGCCGTTGGGCATCGCCCGATCTGAGCTGGAGCGCATGCTCTACGCCGTTCTGGATACGGAGCCGTACGGATTCACTACAGACTGATTGGAATGAAGGAAAGAAGTAGCCGAATGGACTGGAGGAGGGTATGAGTTAACTAGTAATGATAAGTATGGAACGACGGTGCGTTGAGTCTGACATGTTCGTATCCGACGTACGTAGCACCAAGGGACCGAGCGATACATGATGATGAACTTGTCATATTTGCTTCGGTTGTGACGCATCGATAAATGCTCTTGGGTCGCTGCTTCTTTTGTTTGGATTAACGCTTCCGCGAGTCACGTTTAGTGATGGTGCTCATGGTATGGCGATCGTAGTCGAGTACACTGCTGGCATTGCAGCCCCACTTCGATTCTCTTTTCATTTCCAGTACCGCCCATGCAGTAGCCCTGTCATGACAGTGGATCGTACATTCTACGGTAGCTACTGCTTGTGTCTTGTGGGCATGTGCAGTATAAATCGCTTGGGAATCATCGCACCAGTCACGATCGTCTATCGTCAAACTAGAGTCTGTTGATGTAGCCGTAAGCTGTTTGTCCACCTTGTGATACCATTCAATACGCTTGTCGTGCTATGGAACACAACACAGCCACACCTGGCATGATGATGAAGACTACTTTAGATCTAGTTGTGCTATTCCTAACAGACATACGTCACATGTTGACTCCATAGACTGAACTCTGCAACAGGTCTGAGGACTGAGCTTATTCCCTATCCAAACACATGAGGATTACGGGTGCTTGATACACATCGGGACGACTTCTCACCACGTTTGCACAACAGCCGCTCATTGCCACAGACGAAGGCGTGCATCGAAACAGTCGTACAACAGACAATGAGTCGCGTAAAGAGCTACCATCGTTTACTTATGCATACTGTCGTTTCATTCACGAGCACTTCTATCATTCTATCAGTGAGTATATTGTCGTTAGGCATCAGAATATTGCAATCCCTCAAGAAATCAGCACAATCAAATGTGTCTGCGTGCAAATGTTGCACTCGAGGTGCGTCAACACATTCCGTAGTAGCGGACGTATCTTCTGACAAAAAGTGAATCGACATTGAAGCCGACCCGTGTTTGCCGTGTCGGGGTCTCAGCGGACAAAGCACTGAGCTCAACGGCTCTTGCACTGATAGTTGAGCGGGTAACTAGGGGTGTGTGAGAGTGACTTGGTTGCCGAGTCGATCGAGTTGCAGAAAGAGAGGACCAGTGTTCGAAGGAGACAGAGGAACCTCGACAAAGCGTGCAGGCGAGTGTCCGTGCATGAAGTGTCGGTGTCGCATACGCGCATCGAAGTGAGCTGTTGTTTTCGACCGTGTAGAGAAGCCATGAGGCATGTATCTGTAACCCCGTCATCGAGTTCACTGAACATGAATGAACTGAAAGTACGACGACCATTCGTGCGACACGAACGAACGTCTCAACCCCCCGAGAGAAAAAGAACAGTGCGCGAAGGAACAAAAGTCCAGCTCGGCACTTCTTGTTTGAGATATGCAGGTCAAGCGATTACACACTTCATCATTCAGTTGTACCTGCAGGTCAAGTGATTCTGTGATTCATCATTCGGTTATTGACGTGATCGTGTCACGAAGACGGCGAGATCTCAGCAACTGGCCACCAAGGTCCGCTAGTTCAGCAACCAGCCCACCATGCGACGACGAATTCAGCAGCAAAACGAAATACACGACAACATGTGACATACGCCCACAAGTGGATGTCACAGGATCCACACGGAGCATCATGAGACGACGTTTGACTACGGATGCAGGGGTGTTTAAGGTTGATCCCTTCTGCATCCGTAGACGAAGGATGACGAGCTTCTGTTGCCGACTGATTCCGATTGCAGCGCGTGAGAAGTCACCTCTCACAACTAATAGCAAGCCTCGGCGCAAACAAAGGCCTTGATCCGCTCCCCTACCACCGTCGCATCGTCATTTCATACAGAAACCTCAGCTTCAACAGCAGCTGCCTCGCAGAAGCGCGTGTTATGCACACTGACTTTGTACACGTTCCCTTAATTCAACAGGATCTGCTCTCGCTGTGTGCGCTTTATGTAGAGAGCGTCTATTTTATGTATGCATTACTGGGATGGATACAGCGATCGGTGTATCCATCGGCTCGTTTTCTACACAAACGCGTAGCTCGTCGAAGATCGCAAGCCCTAAATGGACTGGCTCCGTCTCGCCCGTAGCTCACGAAAAGCTCTGCTACGACAGACTCGTTTTGTAGCGCTCGTCCTCTAAAGTCCTGTACAACAACAACAACAACAACAACAACAACAACAACTACTACTACTACTACTACTACTACTACTACTACTACTACTACTACTACTACTACTACTACTACTACTACTACTACTACTACACACTCTGCGATCGTACAAAGCGCCAAAAGTCCAGCGACAAATCCTTGCAACAGCACCGCCCGCTTCCTACTTTGTCATCTTGAGGATCGGTACGAACCAGCGGCAGACGGACGACCGACTACCCCCCCTCGACGTCGTTTGAGCCACGAGAGTACAACGCATTGCACTGCTCTGCACTCGCACTCTCTTGTCCGACATGACACTTCCATTCGCCACAACTGGCTCCTCGCTCCCCACGGCGAGCGACTTGTCCGTGTGCGGCGTCGTGCTGCTCCTCACTGCTGTTTTCTTCACTCGACACGTGATGCGCAGCAAACAGACGACTCAGACTAACCCGACAACGCCGTTCCACTCGACGCAACTTCCCCTCCTCTCTGCGTACGTGACCGTTACTACTTTTTTTCTTTCGCATACTCTGTCTGCTACACCCACGGAACACTGACAGGCAGTCGTGCGGTACTATTTTTCTGTGGCGGTTGTAACGATGCCATAGTGACCAACTGGCTGACTCGCGAGTGCTGGCGGCTGCACAGTACGTCCACGATGTAACTCTATCAAGGGGTATCCTGTTGTGGCCCTGACGTTGAGGACTTGTGGTTGCAGAAAAGCAGCCGAAGGAGTGGCGACATGTACGACCTGTGGCTTTACGAACTTCGTGCGTGTCGCGCATTGCGCCATGTGCAGCTCAGATCGAAAACTCTGCGTCACTCTGCGCTCTACTACCGACCGTGACACAGATGGACCAGCGTCGTCGCTCTCTCCTGGTCAAGCAGAACGTCGAGAGTGGATGCGACAAGTGAATGCCAAGAACCGCTTGGTCTGGCAACGGAGGCTTCAGAAAGAGTCGGACCGGTCGCCGGGCTACGTGCTCCGCTTCAACTTGGCACACGATACGGAACCCGAGTCCGAGCGCCAGGTTTTTACACAACGAGAACGCAGTCTTAGCTCAGGCTACGACCCGTGTGCAGGGGTGCAGTTCGAGCTACTAGAGTCGCGTGACGTTCACTCGACGCAATTCCCGCTGCCACCTCCGCGTGCTGACATGGCCGACACGATAGCAGATCTGACGCAGATTGCAGTGGTCCTCGCTGCTCAGGATTTTCCTACAAAGTACGCGCACTTTGTCAAGAATGTTGCAATGCTGCAACGAGATAGCGAGGCGAAAAGGGAAGAGTTGTGTGTGGTTGTGCACCGAGACTACGTTCTTGAGGAATCGGTGCAGCATATCCAGTGCATTGATGAAACGAGTATCCGCTCCATGCGTCTCCAGTTGAAAATTGCTGGTGAAGAAGAGGTGTTGCGCGACGTTGGCGGCCTACATCGCGAATGGCTGACTCTGTTGAATGCAAGGCTGGTGGACCCGCGCGCAGGTCTTTTCGCGTGCACGCAACGCAGTACCCAGACCTATTTTATCAACGCGCAGTCGGAGGTCGCGCTTGGAGCTGACCATTTGCCGTACTTTTACGCGACCGGGAGGCTAGTCGGGCGAGCACTTCTCGAAGGAGCTGTACTTCACTTCCATTTGTGTGCGCCGCTGCTCAAGATGATCTTGGGAACGCCGATCAGCTTTGGCGACTTGGAGCACTTGGATGCCGACATGTACCGAAATTTGACGCACCTGCTGGACAACGATGGCGCTGGGACCCTAGAATTGGACTTCACGGTGACGCAACGTCACGCTGATCATGTCGAGACCGTCGAGCTCATTCCTGCGGGTCGGAATATCCAAGTCAATGACGACAACAAGTTTGAGTTCGCGGACCGCAAGTTCCGCTACATGATGTTTGAGAGCGTGGCGCCACAGCTGGCCTCTTTCTTGAAGGGGTTCTACGAGGTGGTCCCTCAGCGTCTGCTACTGCCGTTTGGCTACGAAGAGCTGGACTACTTGCTCTGTGGCTCTGACAAGATCGATGTCATCGACTGGAAGCAGCACACGCGCTTGATTATGGAACATCGTCGCGAGGTAACATGGTTCTGGGACGTCATTGAGCACATGTCCGACGTGTACCGAAAGCAGCTGCTACACTTTGCCACGGGCTACCCACGCGCTCCATTGACGGGTTTCCAGGGCCTCACAAGCTACGATGGTCAGCCCTGCCTGTTTACGTTGACCGATGCGGGTAGTTGGGGCTGCTTTCGAAGCCATCCGTGCCACAACCTGCTCGAGTTGCCCAACTTTTCGACCAAAGACGAACTACGCACCGCGCTTTATGCCGCTCTGTACAACGAATTCCGTGTCCACGACGTCTTGACGAGCGACGGCACGTCTGTATTCTAGATGTAAAAATGACTAGCGGCTGCAGCAAGTACTTGTAATTACGCATGTTTTGCGTGCCAGATTGTATTTCCATTCACATGGTCTGCCGATTAAGACCAAAGACCTACGAGCTACCAACTTATTGCCAGACATCGGTCGATATGATGCATACTTGACATTCAAATCGACTACTAACTCGATTTCTACACGCCCCACGTCGTGAGACAATCCGCTTTCTGCCTGCTTAGAGCTCCAACATCATTCTCCATATGACGGAAGCAGGACGACTGTCTCGCACTTTACGGCACAAATCTCCTTGCTTTCGTAAATCTGGGATGTCGATATGGATAGGCATTACATCGGGAAACTAGGATGCGTCCTGATCTACGAGTAACGCCAACGGAAGGGTGACCAAGGTGTGTCGCAGGACCTTTGGTCGGTCGTACATCCACAGGACATTTGATCGACTGTACATCTGTCGGACAGATTTTGTCGGACGTAACGCCTTGGCAAGCTTTTCTCGAGTGGTACAGTATGCACGCATCTGCAAACGTGTTCCAACTCAGTATCATGTTGCAACCCACTACCAAAATATGTCCACGATTTGCGCCAACTCCCAGCCTCATCGATCGCTTGACGCGATCAGCACCAGCCATTTTGTAGCTCATGTAGACAACAGACCGAAGCGGCAAAAGCAACGCTCGAAGATCTGCTTGTGGTTCTCTGGGTTATAAGTCCACAGCATGTGACGAAGCCTACACAGAGAGGAATAGAGGAAGACCGACGGCGATCTGGTGCATGTTGAGTAGCTAGGATGTCAGCTGGAAGCATTTGCAAACGCCAATCTGGAGCATTGACGTGCAGATTCGTCTATTCTGTTTGTCGAGAAGAATCTCGTACGCAGTCAGCTGTATCGACTCTTGCAAGCATACGAACATACCCAATCCAGAATGGTCCAACCCAAGATAGGCAGACGTCAGACGTGATCCTCCCACATATACTGTACGAGCTTCAGCCTGAGTATCACAATGATCGCGGTAGTGCTGTACCAGCACCCGGCCCATGAAGCTTCATGCGCGTTCGCTTGAGCATCGAATGATATGCAGCACTTACGTCACAGCAATGGCTGCATGCAGACATGCACAAACTGCAAAGGCAGCGCGGCATAGTGCCACCTATGATACATCCCGACCACACTTGGAAGTGTCGCTGTCGAAGCCAATACGCGTTTCACCCGGATCCACTCGTAGGATGGTAGAAAGCGAGTCACGGCAGCATCGGCCAGAAACAGAACCTTTGCTGCAATCGAAGAAAATAGCAACATTGATCAGGTTGATGTGGCATAAGTCCGATACGTGATGCTCACAAGCAGCCTACAATGTGCATGCTGGATACTACAAAGGGGATTGCACCGTATCCGCGTTGTCTGCACTGTTCAGATCATTCCATGTATATCTCAGCAACGTACCAAATGATGTCGCTCCGTCCTTCGAATGGTCGTTACCGCGACCGACCGATAGCGCTGCTCCCTCGCCATTCATCACATTGATTCCACGTTTCATGTCATGGCACTCATCGTCGTGACATATGCAGCTTACCGATTTACTGCAACTCCTGCAATTCCCGTGACGTCCACACGTAAATCTCACCTTTCGAGGAACTGCTGGCCAAGTGTACAGAAGCAGATAGTAGTAATAGCGTATCTCCGTCTTGATCTCGAACGCCCTTCGCACTTGTAGCTTCTTCACGCGATCTTGCAACCGAGTAACCGAAACGAGTGTTGTTTGCACCCAGCTTATAGCATCCAACGAACAGCTCGGCAACATTAGTGAGCTGCATCCGTCAAGTGGCACCAATACCACTTTGTATGGCACGACGCCTTCATCCAGAACATACCTATGTCAGACAAGCTCGTCCGCGTGTGACATAAGCAACAAGGGGCACTACGCAGCCATTGCTGAATGTCAGTGTATTTGCCTTGGCCTTCCATTCCTCCACAACGCATTGAATTGACCCATGTACTGATCATGCGTCGAGATGGCCTCAACGATCCGCTTCGACCAATATCAGCGAGATCAGTGGCTTCACTTTGTTGTCATCAATTCCATGTGCGGCGTAGAGGTGCCTACGTGTTCCTAGCGAGTAATCTCATCAACAATAGACGCCATGTCAAATTGAAGGCGCGATCTCGGACGATTAGCAAAGGAGCACTTTCTTGTCTCAATGGGTCGCTCTAGCCAAACCTTGCGCATCAGACCTACTACGGACCATGCGCGTTTCATAGATTGCATGCACGGTCTAACTGCTTGATTCGCAAGTAGCACAGGTGCCCTTTACTCAAGCTGAGGCATCACACGATCCTTGACGCTCATTGTAGATGTCACCCAGGTTGTAAGCTCTCACCCTCAAGCATGTGCTAGTTCTCACACCACACATGTCTGTCGGTTAGAGGAGGTCTATCTTCGAGGTATCTCGTGGCTTCAAAACTGCTGGTCATCGATAGATGGCGCATAGGTTGAAGGTGAATCGAGCACACTCGATGTAGCATGAATGAAGCACCCGATTCGTGTAAAACGATGTTGACGTTGCACCGCATCTCCACTAGTTACACGATTTTTTCTGAATAGCTTTTCTGCATTGAAATGCGCGAGATAGCCTTGAGCCTGTCCAGGACTTGACGCGCGGGATGAGAAACATTGAGCTACTCGCGGGCGGCCAATGCCCATTTGTATCGACATCAGTCATTTGTCATTATCGTGACAATCGCTGACTATCTGCATCGACGTGGCCTACCTAACCAATGCCACCTCCTTGCCTATGTTTCATCTGCACACATTTCGAACACATTAGCAATCACACAGCTAGGTCATGCCATTCCGTCTCGGTACAGGTGTACCGGGACGGAATGGCATGACCAAAACCAAACGCTATGTTCGTTCGCAATACAGACCATGTCGACCAAAATAGCGAAGTCTAGTCACAGCCAAACAGATCCATAGCAGCTCTATGTGCCGACTGAACTATCCCGGGAAGAGGTCCACATCGCAGAGCGAGAATAGTTTGTTTAGCCTACCGCACTCTCCACGCATTTCACTATCTTTCTGTAGAAAGTGTCACCAGGCCATTGCGGGTCAATGGTTCGGGACTAGATTGTAGGATCCGATTATGTATCTTGTTGTGGTCATTGTCCTCGCACAGCCTCGATTGCAGCATAGCCAACGCTAAAGGCGTTGTGCATGGCTGAGGTTTAACACAGCGAATCGTCCGTCTGCTGACACGATTTCGGAGCGAGCAGTACGCCAAGTGGTGGAACGCCACAGACAGGTAAGAGAACGCGAAGAGAGGATCCGTGCATGTCAACAACGACAGTGTACTCTCTTCGGATGCTGCCACCACTCGTTCAAGCATCCTGTCGTCTTTACGCGATCGATGCTCCGCCTGTATCGGCATTGATTTCCAAATTAGGTGCCCATGTGGACCCACGGCAGTAACTTGGATGGTCATAGGTGTGATTGCCGAATAAGTTGGAGGGCGTGAGTGGGCGCAGACAGTAACATGTCAATCTAGATGTACGTATCTGGCAGTCGAAAAGTATGTGTGTCGTATCTACAACGGTTTGGTCGTTCTCGACCGCAAGGCAAAATGCGTGGCACAACCTTACAGTTATGCCTGCCATACTTTATTCTGTACGTGTAAGAGGACGAATACCAACCTAATTGGAAGCAGAATATTTGGTGCATGCGATACCCAGTACCCCAACGCTAGCAAATCGAGTAGTCTCCAATCACGCCTAAAATTAGGATTCACTATGCATGCGAAGGTCTTGGGTGGCCAACCGGGCGGTGGAGGTTGAGGAGGTCCTTTTGCGGATGCTATGTAAATCATACAATTGATGGATAAACAAATGAGATGATCCAGCAGTGGTTGGTGAGCCCACTTTGAGCGGAAACTAAGCAACTCTGCAGCTCTCAGATGAAGGAGCAACAACAGATGTTGAAGTAGCTTCCGAACTGACGGATTCCTCGTACAAAGTTGCATTCAGTACTTTCGCCGTCACGGGTTGGCATCAAAGAAGCCGATACGCTTCATGACCGGATTATCGGACTTCGTACAGGCGTACCTACGGCACTACTATCAGCAGCATCGCAACGTTCTGGCTGCAGATATCCTACGAGGTAGCTGACGGTACGGGGTACGCAACGATGACAATTGTCGACGGCAGCACTTGAGAGGCCCGTGTTTCGTACGCTCACGCAATTAAGCTCTTCATGTCATGGCGGAAAGATGCGGTTCACCTCTTCAGCTGATAGACCAGCATCCAGCAATTTCTTTCGAGCCAGCGTCTTCTCTAGCACCAACCGGACATTTTTTGTCGCAATTTCGGACTGAAGACGAGCGCATTCCAGCTCAAACAACCGCCGCTTCTGAGCTTTGGCCTCGTCATCAACATCTTCGACTACATCAGCACTGGCCTCGGTACTCTGTCGTTGTGCTGTCGCCGGCGACTCTGAACAAGTATCATCGACAACGGCGGCAGTACCGAGTACTTGGGTCACAGCGTCGTCGTTCACCTCTACAATAGATGAACTCGTTGCTGTTGCCGAAGCTTCTTCCGTTTGCGCCTCATTAGGCGTGCGGTCGTCGCAGTCGGCATACGCTGCTAAAACCGGCACCAGCTTCTCGTAGTAGGGACACATCTGATGCACATGCCGCATGACCCGCTCCTGCTCAAGTGTAAGCTCCTGACTCGTCACAGGATAGTCCACCTTTGTCTGATGCAACCACGCCTGCGCCGCTTGAAATGTCATCACGAATGTCGTGACGTGCAGCCGTATATCAGCGCTACTTATTTCGCGCTGGCCGTGTGCGCGCAGAAACACATTGGCCTCATCACAGAGCGGTGTCTTGTCTTCATCGCGCTTCAACAGCCACCATCGCGAATAACTTCCTGGCACCGACATCCAGTCCAGCAACAACATCTCTGTCGCCGCTCGCCTCTCCTCTACGTCATAGGTCTCATTCACATCACTACAGGTCTCCTTTTTCACATCCGTTCTCCTTCGCTTCATACTTGGTTGCAGCAACGAGCTGTCCGTCATCATTGACGTCGTCAGAAACGCAGTATGCGCGGTGTGAGCTTCCCCTGCTGCCTGCGCTTTCTTTTCCACCACACCCTCCTCCACCTCTGTCGACAATATCAGTTCCTCGTCTTCCACTTCTTCCTCTCCCTCTTCTTCTTCTTCTTCTGCTTCATCATCAGCAGCAGCATCAGCAGCATCTTTACCATCGCCACGGCCAGTCGCATTTTCTTCGCTCTCTGTCTCTTGTGACAACAGCTGGTCCACCTTGTGGACGTCCACTTGCTTCACGGTTTCCCCGACCATTGTTGCCAGCAGCTCTTGTCTCGCTGCGTCGAGCTGCACCAATGAGTTGCCCCCTTTCTTGGCAAAATCCAGCTGATGTCGCTTGGTAAAGCTACAGACCCATCCTTTCGAGAACGTCAAGTCGGACGGAAGTTCCATCTCATTCGCCAAGTCGATCGCTTTGGTCTGAATCGACAGCCGCGTGACCGACACGCCGTGTAGCAGCTCCTGGTAGACCCACAAGAGCATCCGGCGGTCCAGCTCCGGGTACTTGACACGCCTCGATGAGCGGAACTCGGGCGGCACGGACGTGTTCAGCAGCTTCTCTTTGGCTCGAAGCAGGTTCGAGATCGTGGCTTGCGTCGGTTTGCTCTCGAGACGGAACGCCTCCTTCGCCCAGAGCGCCAAGTTGCGCTGTGTCCACGCAGGTTCTTCCTCCTTCTTGTGGATGATCGCGAGCTTCTCGCGGTACGTCAGGTTCCGTCGCGAGCGTCGAGACAGCGGCGCTGGGGCCGGCGGCGTAGTCATGCTGGGAGGAGCTTCGCCACGGGCGAGAAGGTGGTGACTGCATTGTGGAGGGCTCGGGAGGGCCGAATGTAGTGTGGCACACATGAGATACCGACCACCCGCACGTTGAGAATGAGGACGGCATCTTTTTTTGGCAGGACGAGATGGATCGTAACTGTATGTTAGATTGATTGTGCATATTGACAGAGTAGAAGTAGTAGTAGAAAGACGAGTGGAGACAGTGACCAGTAGTGGACACTATGTAGAGGAACATCTTGTGTTTACTACTATTGTTGGTAGTGAAGGGGACTTGTGGATGATGAATCCAGGCACGTTGACAGCGGAAGCGCGTAAAGGGGCTGCATATGTAGTGGCGCCTGGAGATCCACAGATGGCGCCTGGACGATGATGTGGCTGCGCGCATGGAACAATGATTGTTTTGCCGTCAATCCCATCGCTTCTGTCCGTGTAGTTTTGGCTACATTGCGCAATCTATCGGGCTACCGTTGATGTAGGTAGCAGCATTCCAAGCACCCTTGCACCCGCGTGTTTTCGAGCTTCGCTCGACTTGCTCAGCGTCTACGAAGTACTGCTTAGCACCGAGTTCAAGCTGAAGCACTGACGACAGCGCGGCTCGTACATTTCGCTCCCTCCTATGAGCTGCATTTGCAACAAACGCTTTGTTATGGAATCTGATTCGAGCAAGAGGGCATCTTTGTGCACAAGTCTCGTACCTCGAGCGTCTTGTCGGCTGTGAGACGTCGCGTGAAAGCTACGTGCCACGAAAATCGCATAGCTTCAAGTCAGTCTATGATCCCCATCGTAGTCAATCCCACTACACGATCGCACCTGCGTCGTGGCCGCAGGATGAGCAGATGGCGTTTAGTTTGATGACTTGCTCGGCTGCAGGGATCAGCTTAATTACGTTGTCGAACGCCTGTACTTGTCGTGTTCGTATCACAACACAGTCAGCGCCATCTCGCCTCATCACGTAGCCGTACACACTCACGTTTCGCTCAAACGTCGCATCCAGCGCCGCAATGACCACCATCTTGCCCATGTTCGCTACGTCTTGGCAAAACTCGACCAGCTAGTCGAGAAAACGACGCGACACAAATGTTAGCTCATCGTAATGTGTGACGCACGACTTGAAGCTCGTACATCGGGGTAGAACTGTCCTTCGTCAATGCCAATCACGTCGATCGTGTCTAGAAAAGGGCGCACTTCAGCCAGCGTTTGCACCGGCATTGCCATCGCGAGGGTCTTGTCATGAGTGGCTAACATTCTGAATCGAAGGCCCAATGAGTCGCACAGTGAAAGGCCCCAAAACAACCGTAGCCACGCTTTCTTATCGTGCGACCGATTCCCAAGTCGACGCATTACAGTCTCCGTGATGATGCACGTACTCGTCCGAGTGGCGCGTGTCAAAGAGGTACTTGACCAAGAGACATTTGAGCTTCGCGTGCTGATAGCGGTGCATGCGACGAATGAGTTCCGTGCTTTTGCCGCTGAACATTGGCCCAATAATAAGCTGCACACAGCCTTCCATCTTCATCCTCATCCTCGTGTCCTGATTCCGTTCACACAATGACAGTAACAATAATAAGAAAAATGATGCCATTCATTGACACACGCCCGTCTGCGCATTTACACCCAAATGCCCTTAATATCGGATCTCTCTCCATCTGGTGTGGAGGATCCGAAAGTTACGTGTCGTCCCACTTATCGCCCCGACACTGTCCTGGTTGATTTGTCGTCTCTTCTGTAGCCATGTCGGTCGAATCCGAAAGCGACAATGAATGGCGAAGACGAAGCGAAGCGTCAGCGTTTCTACGTAGTGTACGTGCCGGCAGATGCGGACAAAGGACTGGAAGAATGGGCCGTTGAACTGCCCAGTGATAAGGAGGCGCAACTGGGCTGTCTGACCGATAGATTGCGAGCGCACTTCAAGGGCAACGCCACATCTGAGTCCACGCAGCAGCGAGAACAAGAGACGTTCAAACAGCAACTCGTGGCTCAAATGCCGGAGGGTGCTACGCTCACGGATGAGATGTTCCAGATGGTGCTGCAAATGGACAGTCTTGTGGACTCGATTCCACTCGTCCTCAACACGCCGAGCGTCAAGCACGTGGGCGTCAACATGTACGTGGACGACAAGGGCACCGCCAAAGGACTGGCTACGAACGTCCGTGCATCAGCCATTGCGCAAGCGTGTGGAAAGATGCTGGAAGTCAAGGGTGATGCATTCATTGGACGTGTGTTTGATAACGGTGCGTACGAGCACTGAAGCATAGCGTATAGATAGCGGGCACGTTCGTCGTTTGACACGGTTTGCCTGGCGTTCTAGATGATGATTTCGTCAGGATGGACTTCCGACTGAGTGAGGTTTCCGGTGATGCCCCGTGGGTGCAGACGGCAAAGTCGCAGGCTACGGCGGCAGCAAACGGGCATGGAGGAGCAGCAGCAGGCGCTGCGCTTGCCCGCGCCAAGGCCCCAGGCAAGACGATGCTGCCAGGCTCGATCCAGCGTATTTGCGGGGCCGACCAATGCTCAAAGAACGGCTCACTACGTTGCTCGCGATGCAAGGCGCAGTTCTACTGCAGTGCCGCGTGCCAAAAAGGAGACTGGAAGCTCCACAAAACCGGATGCACGCGGTAAGCGCATTTGGAATCGAGAGAGATGATCTACAGGTCGTGGACGCTCGTTTCTTGGTGTAGTTGCTCGATGATGTCGAGTAGATGTGTATGGTATTTTGGCTGGTGGCATGTCGTTTGGCAATGAGGGAACAGTTTGTGATCTATCACGACTTCACTGTAAAAGCGTGCTTTGTATTAGATGTCCAGGGAGGGTGCTATCGGCACGGAGTCGCCGACCAAACAGTGATAGGAATAGACTGCAACGTTCGCGATCCGGACGTGTCTGAACCTTGTTCCCAACAATGCGTAATGCTTCAGAAGACGGTGCCGCTCGAAACTCGTGCTATTACTAACAACAATCGACAAAATACGACAAACTAGTGATCACCGAGCCACTAGCTGGCTTGCATCGCGGACATTTACGATCGACTTCTGACGTCGGCAACCACGTCATTGCACGCATCGCCTGGTCCTGCAGCACTCACTCATAACGGCAAAATGCGATCAATCTCTTCCTGAGAAACGCCAAGCTGGTCCAGCTTCTTTCGCGCAGAAGCCTTCTCAAACAGCAGCTGAACTTGCTTCGACTTGAGCTCGCAGTCCAATTTGGCGCGCTCAAGCTCGTACACTTCGTACCGTTGTTTCTGCTCATCCTTTACGCGCTTCAACAGCGCCTCGCGCTCGATCGCCAACAGTTGTCCGTCCGTCCCGTCTCGCTCTTGCACTCGTGTACGCTTCACTACACTCTGTTCCTTCTCCAGAACCTTCCGTTTATGTGTCAAAGCTATCGCTTTTGACACCATCTCCTTCCTTTCGTTCGTCATCATCGCACTCTCCTCCACATTAATCGCCGCAACAGGTACAGCGGCGGCAACTTTCGAAGGCCGTCCCCTTTTCTTCTTACCGATCAGCACCAGAGTGTTCACACCAGCTTTGGGTGCAGCTTGCTCCATTCCTAAGTCTACAGCCGCTGACAGAGACTGATGCCGACCATTATTGCTTTTGTTCTTTTGCGACGTCGTTGGCGTCGAAGCGTGTTCCGCGGCAGTGCCATCCACGATAGCGGCAGACAACGATAGAGCAGCAGTCTTCGGTTGCTGCGCAACAAGTGTAACAGCCTTTTCTTTTCCGACAGCGCCCTCTTTTCCAGGTGTCCTGGCTAGCTTTTTCTGCAGATCGATAGATGCCAGAGCTTTGTTTTGAGCAGCTTTGCCCATCGACGAAAAAAGTCGGTGTTTGAACGTCCCCTTCGTCAGCAGCGCCTTCGACATTGCGTTCGCCTCGAGAGCCTTGTTGCTCGTCAGTTCCTTGGCTCCAACATGACCTTCTTTCGTCCCCACGGCGGTTCCCACTGACGACTGCTCCTTGTCCCGCTGCTCGTCTCTCTTGTCCACCTCGGCCCCGCCCGCTTCCTCTCCCTCGTCCCCACTCTCGTCCTCACCGCCTCGCCCCGCGGCCAAGTCGTCTGTGCTTTCGCCGTCCAGATCAATCGTCTCGGCACTCTTCTTGCTGAACGGCAGCCCTCGGAACGCCACGTCCAGTCGCTTGAACTGCGGGCACACGCTCTCCACCTGCACGCGGACCTCTTTCGCTGCTTTCCCCCGCACGTACGCATCGTGCATCCCCGTCTCCAATAGCCACTGCTTGGCCGCAACGTACTGCTTCTCCATGGCGTCCAGTTTATAGCGCACGAACGGCGCTTTGCGGTGCGCCAGTCCCTCGTCCTGCATCGTCTCCACGACCTCGCGGATGAGCGGACCGTGCGCTTCCATGCGCCAGCGCTTAGCGTTGCCGGGCATCGTCATCCACCGCATGAGCACGTCCATAGTCGTGGGTCCCCCCGGGTGGACACTGTCCGAGAGCGACGAGCGGTACGCCTTCCGCGTCATGTTCGCCTGACGCGATCGATGGCACCAGTTGAAACGACGAATCAAAACGCTGCGAGCGCGTGGGGAGAAGTAGTAGTAGTAGAAGTAGTAGTAGTGTAGTAGAGTGATGGCATGCGCATGGTTTTGGTTGATATTCCTGTCGCGAATACTATTTTGCCACAAGTCGGTATTCCTTGCTTCTGGTCTGGCGTAGTACGATATCTGCAACGACGCGTCTGCTACAGTACTACGCTTCGTCTCCTGATAGCGTTGCACTCGACACGAGAGAAGCGGAAACGATGTCGACGAACATCGAAGCACTAACGTCGCGCAAGTATCAATGAGGGTGCAGTGCTACTAATGCGATCGAGCGTTCGAGTTTACATAACTCGTGTGCGTGCGGCGAATTGATCAATGTAGGAAATGGTTGAATGCAAGCGTCCCTTCACATACTATGACGATACCCTGTTTCTCCGTAGCGCTAAAACAGAGTCCCGTGTGACAAGCTTCTCGATGACTGTACATTGCGAAACATGTGTGGAATTTGAACGCGCTCTTTGGCGACGCTAGCTTCCAATCCTTGTGCGTGACGTCCAATTACTTTCGTTATCTTCAATTCTACGATCTCGTAAGTGCCAATTGACTTTCGGTGAAGCCTCTGTTGCACTTATAGAGTAGAGCACCTTGAGATACTGAAGTCAACGCATTTTTGAAATGATGCAAAACTTTAGTCTACGCATGTACAATTATTTGTTGTGAGCCATGACCATTTTTCGAAAACTTCTTACCTCACGGTGTAATGTATTAGACACGCGGCCCACTTTTGCAAGAAGTAGCGTCCCGCTAAATTTTGCGTAAAACGTTCTGACTCGTACCTCTAGCTATACATCATACGCCTCGCCATGTCAATATACACGCTCACGTACATTCGCATGCAAAGTTCTTCCCAGCGTGTCAAATGCGTAGTAGATGGGCGCTACCATCGCACAACAGGGGCTGAAAAATGAATGCAAAAGACAGGGTCGCTACCAGTGACAAGAAAACCCGACAGAAAGCTTAGCTTATCGCAGAATGACATAAGCGACCAGAAGTGACTTTCCTCATTTTCTCGGTATAAATGGCGCAATGTGTGAGCTTGGATCTCCTTCGGCCAAAGGTAGTGGGCGAAATGTCTTACTTGATTTGTCTGTTCGTTCAGTCAAAGATAAGCTCCGTATTAGACCGTCGCATCGAGGGAATGCAAGCCAAATGGGCTTCAATAACTAACTAACTAACTTCCGGTATCGCCCCCTGTCATTGCCATTCCCTTGTCGCAAGCTCAATCCAATAATAACTAGTAAGATTTATCAATGTTACTTGTAAGAATTAAACACTGCGTCAGACAACCAAAGACTTTACAGTTAATCGTGTGGTCACTATCTCCAAGCGAAAGGATCCCTTATGTTGCGAAAATCCCGAGACTTTGACAAAGCTGTAACATCTCTTGACTCTGTGACATTATACCTCTGCCGTGCAGGTGTTAGAATTGGGTGGCATGGTGTGTTGTAATCGGCCGCTGACTTTGGGAATTCACTGTGTCGAGCCTAATTTTTTTTATTGATGGTAAAATTATATAAAATATTTTTCGTCAATATTTGCATCTTTGAACCCTTTATAAATTTACCTACGAAATTTTGATGTAATTGATCCAAATATTCTGGTTACTAACGGTTTATTCTGTTTATTAAAAACAATTCTTTATTTTACCTACAAAACGATACATGCATTTTCATATGTATATAAGTTTATATTAAAAAATTGTACCACAATAATAAGGTTCTTTATTAACAAGTGCTATTCAATTATTTATGCTTCGTTAACAGCTATACTTCAAACAGATTTAGAACATATTTAAGGGAATTGCTAAATTCACACCCCTTTTCCTTAGATTCACAACCTTCCTTAAAAATCTTATATATACAAGGTACGCAATCGCCGTTGGACAAAGACGAGTACTTTCTCTGCCACTTGGCTACGGGCGACATCTTTCGCGCTGCTGTAGCTACTGGCACCGACATAGGCAAAAAGGTCAAAGTCGCGATGGAGTCGGGCGCACTTGTGACCGACGAGATTGTCGTCGGTATCATTAAGGACGCCATCAAGAGTTCGGAATGCCGTCATGTTTTTTATTTTTGGCGACTTTCCACGAACGGTCGTGCAGGCCAAAAAGGTGAGAACAAGAGGAGATACATATGAGTGTCCAGGTTGCAACGCAGAGGCTAACCATAGTTCCCTCTTTTTGTAGGCGTTGTCCTCGCAACTAAATTTGTACCTGCTGGCCTTCAATGACGTCTCTTGCGCTGGCTGGGCGTACGTGTTGTACCTAACACTGACAACGGTCCTCAAGGCGCGTGAAGGTGGCGATCTGGACTCGATTATTGAGTAATACCTTTGTCAGAAATTAAATCTTAAAATAAATAGGGATTTTATGTATATGATTTTGAAGGAAGGGTGTGAATCTAAGGAAAAGTGGTGTGAATTTAGCAATTTCCGTATTTGAATAGCTAAAATAACAAACATTTGCCTAAATATATGGTTTAAGGATGCAAATATTGACAAAAAATTAAATTCAAAATAATTATTACATGAGGATATTACAAGGATATTCAAAAATTCTAGTTATTGCTAACAATTTTAGCGATCTATATCTGTTTGACGTATAGCTGTTAACGAACCATAATTAATTGATAAGAAATGATCTCGACTACGGAAGAAATCGACGACACCAACGCGGCACAGGCGCCGCCAGCAACCGGTCACGAAAGGGACGCGGCCGTGCCTACTACGGTCGTCTCTTCTACCGCTCACGCAAGGAGCGCGTAGCCTAACGCAATGGCTGGAGTTCTTGATGTGCCTTGGGCATGGATTGGCGGATGCAGCAGATGGAGGCGTCGCAAGCACTCATGGACAAAGACGAGCGCTTGTACGGCACTTACGAGAGCGGGCTGTTCCAACCAGAGCTTTAAGCGGACTTCGCAGAGCGACTCCACGGCGGATCGATGGAGCTTGAGAGCTTGAACAATCGGCAACGTCAGTAGCAAGCGCGGCGCGCACCAGCTCGGCTCGACGATCTACGGATGCGAGCGAGACAGCAGCCGTAGCAGCGTGCTGATCCGTTGCCTCAGCCGCCTGCTCTATTGCCACCATACTAGCCCCTACTAGCACCTCAGGTGATGCCGGCAGCTCAATGGCAGATAGTGCATTAGCGGTAACAAGTGAAGCCGATGCAGCATCGCACTCCGGATTCGAGGTATTGCAAGCTGACGATACGCAAGTTCGATGGCACCGAGGTGTACGTCGGACTCAGGTTCGACTTGTTCGACTGGGGTAAGACGTTTTGGCGCCTGGTCGACATGGCACATGAGTCTTGTGGCTTCCTGTGGAGCGAGAACGTGAAGGCTGACGTTCTCAGGAAGTAACTCAATGGCACTGCCGAGCGGTAATTTAACAAGAAGGTGGAAACATGGTGGGGCGTACAGTACGATATTGCAGTACGCGATGCAGCGCATGCTGGACACGTTCACGACGGCGGTCACCGTCGATCGAGCGATGAAGCTCTTTACGGCGAAGAAATAGAGAAAGAGGTCCTGTACAGAACAACACTTGTACCTGGTCGCTTTCAGCGACGCTGCGGGCGGCGCTGACCTGTAAGTTCTCGACAATATCGTGCGCTACACCTCGCCTGATGTGGCGAAAATCCTCATGGAGAAGTACCAGACACACTGCATTGGCTACCTCGTGCACGCAGAATAACTCGCGCACTTAGCGCAAGCGATCGACATGGAAGCTCGATCGTGGCGATCCTTTAGTAAGGAGGTCGTCGCGCACGTGGACGAGTTCGCGTCGCGCGAGGAGATACGCACTTGCCACAAATGTGGAAAGGTCGGTCACGTGAATAAAGCCTATCGCAGTAAAATAGCGGACGATAAGAAGAAGGGCAAAGGCTCCAAAGACGGCGGCAGCATCATGCTAGCTGTCGGCGAAGGAAGAGGTAGCTACGGCCCGCGCTCCACTGGACAAGGACTGGCTATGGCGATTTTCTACGAGGGCGACGACGAAGATGAAGACTGGATCCTCGACAGCGGTTTCAGCCTCCACCTTGTCAACGGCGCATCCCTTCTGCGCGAAGCGAGGGGATGCGATCAAGAGTGCCGCTTGGAAGACGGCGAGACCATCAAGCTGACGCAAGTGGGCAGCGTCACGGAACTGTGCTCACGATAGTACATCAGCAAGACGCGACGCTGAAGGACGTGTATTTGGCGCCCGAGCTGTCGTGCAACATCATGTCCTACGGCAAGGTCGAGCTTAAGGTTTCGGGCTCGTCTACGACGGCGAGTCGCACGTGATGACACGGGGAAGCAATGACCATGTCGCGTTCGATGTGGCAATAGATCACAATGTGCACCACGTACAGACGGTCGTGGCGGCTCGCGAGCCAGGAGCTCTAGCGACGTGCTCATGGCGATCCTGACGAGCTAGGCAGCTCCGAAAGAGCCCTAGTCGGATACGCAAATCGGCACGCTACTGCACTTCCATTAGTGGATTGGAAATATCGCTCACGACACCTTCGAGCGCATGGCGAGAGATTCCGCGTCCGGAATCGTGATTACGAATCGTAAGCGTCCAACTTCTTGCGCTCAGGTCAAACAAGCGATGAACTTATAGTTGAAGTAGGACTAGCGCAAACTCGCCGATCGACAGAGTTGGCGGGTGATTTGCTCAGATCTAAAAAGTCCGACGACCCGAAGTACCAATTGCACAATCGTCACCTCGTCAACTTAGTCGATCACTAGTATAACTTCTGTCGCGTCTATCTGGCGCCGACCAAGGGCAAGGCACTCTAAATTGAGCACTTCCTCGCAATCTTAAGGTGCCACTTCGACTGCTGGATCCACGTGCTACGCACCGACGGTGGTGGCAAACACGCGCACGCCGACCTCTTCTGCGAGATGATAGGCTTCGCGCGTCATATCAGCGAGTCG